AACCTCTGGGTTGATCTAAGTCAGGGCATGGCTAACTTACAGATTGAACCCTGAAACAACCTCTGGGCTGATCTAAGTCAGGGCATGGCTAACTCACAGATTGAACCCTGAAATAACCTCTGGGTTGATCTAAGTCAGGGCATGGCTAACTCACAGATTGAACTCTGAAACAACCTCTGGGCTGATTGAAGTCAGGGCATGGCTAACTCACAGATTAAACCCTGAAACAACCTCTGGGCTGATCCAAGTCAGTGTATGGCTAACTCACAGATYGAATAGGAATCTAGCACATGAGATTTGCAGAAGGGGGAAAACCAGAAAACCTGGTTTAAAACCTGGTTGTTTAGCTAGTAGAGGTAGAATCAAATAAGTTTTTATACTGTATTATATGACTGAGCTTCAATGCTAGTTGCATGGTAGTTTGGTAATGGAGGACTGTCTGTCTGTCCATTGCCTGTGTCTTGCCATCYATTATTTTGTCCCAGTCTACATGTATATAATAATATTTTCCATCATTCAATTTGTTTGTAGATATGGCTTCTTTTGCCTGATAATCTCTGGTCATTCATTTTCTGTCTGGCTTTTGATATTAAGAGAAAGTTCATGAAATATTAATTGATCTTTGCATTTCAAATGAATCACAGTTCCACAGTTAGCCTCATATTATATACCATTATTTTCTTCTATTTCCAGGAACTCCAGTAACTTTCACCCTCAATCCACTTACTCTACAACTTTTTCCTCAAACAACTACAATCCATGGATCCTACGGCATCCTTTTGACACTCAACATTCCTCAAACCATTCCTATGGATATATTATGTTCTCTGACCTCACTACCACCAGGGAAGATCAACAGTTCTTATATCAACTGTCCAGCAGAGGCCAACGATGCTGTGACTTTAGCATTTTCTGTGATCCAGTTGAAGCTGGCAGCGACTGAAATACAGTTTAGGGTTTGTATAATTGGATTTTTTCAAATCGGATATACCACTCCAGGTCAGAAGGACTAACAGGTTTTACAACCCACTTGATAAGGTAGTCAATCTGTGGAGCGAGGGAAAATTGGGAACTTGGAGAAAAAGCCCAGTAGACCTTTTCTGAGATAGCAARTATGGTGCATTGTGGACTAGCTTGGATACGAACATCTTTTGTTCACCATGCCTTATATGGTGTTTTTTGTACCCAAGCTAGACCACAATGCATCCTGTTTATCATACAAACAACTCTACTCACATATGATGGCAAGTTCAGTAGACAATAGAACCGTTTGTTGCACTTGTGGGACGCGAGTGCTCTCACCMCTGCAGTGTGCCTCCAAATGCTTCTAGTTTGTCATAGAATTCATACTAAAAAATCAGTATTTTTCCCCATTGTAACTTTTCTTAACTAACATTTTTTTCTCTCGATTCTTTCAGAAATCAGAGGTCTCTAAGACCCTTAGTCTCTCTGTGGTTGGGAGTCCCACTGGCCATGTCAGAGACCTGGTGCAGTTATCATGTTGTCCTAAGGCTACATCAGTACTGAAGCCCTCCCCTGTCGGGGCATATCTGTGGGTTGATCTATCAAGACAACAACAAGTTGATGACAAGTCTGGTGAGTAAAATTGTATTCTGAGCAACTAGGTTCTTTAGAGCCAAGACTTTTTAAATAGGAAAAGGAGGGAATAAATGATGATGACTTTACTATTATGRGTTGAATGAAAAGACTTGGATATTTAAAACCCAATTGAGAAGCTCCCTGAAAGTCAAAGTAGGGTTTACTGGCAAGAAAGTTTTTGCAGAGAAAGAAAAATTTGAAAAACCCTTGATAGAGCAGTCAAAGAGAAACTCACTCACTCCTCCTATTTGGAAGACATCTTTAGCAAACTTCATGTGCAATTAGATAGTGAGCTATCATTATAGAAATTGGCTAACATGCTTGGGATGCATGGGTGGCATATTGGTGAGAATGCTTGCCTCTTACCAGTTATAACCCGGGTTAAATTCCTGGATTCAGTGTCCTTTGCTAGTAGAGTTTGTCATTAATTCTCTCCCTCCCTTTGAGGGTTTTTCTCTGGGTTCTAGGTACAGGTTCAGGAGAAAAAGRTTCTCTAGTAGTGGTACTATATCAGTGTTGTCTAATCAATATGCCAAATTTATATACTTCGATAACTGATTTCAGGTGGTTCGACATCAACAGCATCCATGGATATTGAACTGACCTGTCCATGTAACCTGAAGGAACAGCAGTGTGATACTGGTTGCTGCTGTGATCAGGTAAATAGATAGTGTGCGTGTGAACATCACGCTACACATTAATTTACTATTCACTTCATGCGTCCAAAACAGGTCGAGAAATGGTGGTATTTGAACTTTGCTTTGTGCGCAACACTTGCCCAAAGTTTGCACTGGTTTCCGGTTACAACTCTACTTGGACTCTTTTGATTGGAGTGCAAGTCCGATCAATCTCTGTAGACCCGTTGCAAGTGCAACAATGCAGCTCAATTTGGAGGACAAAACAAAAAAATTTCAATCTCCTGGGAGTTGGAAACCTATTGTTTTGCCCTCCAAATTGAGCTGCATTCCGACGTACTGCAAGGGTCTATTCGCTGCATAAAAGGTCGAACAAGTGGAAAAATATGTTAATTTGAGTGTTAGGTTGTACGCAACAGAAGCGCGTTGCTCTTACTGGTTTCCGTAATGGCTAACGACTCAGACGAAAGAAAAGCATTAACGTACTTTTGGTTCTAACAATAAAATTCTCTGCCAGTCTCCCTACTATAATATAAGCTTGGAAAAAATAATTGCTACCGAAGAGGGGATGGGAAAGGAGGAGAATGTCAAAAGCTACGAAAGCGCGCGGCATTAGACGAGGCGCTCGCTTTTATTGATARAATCAAATATGTTTCCCTTTCATCTGGATTTAGCGCGTCTCGCCGCTGCAAAAGRCATTATCTTTGTGAAGTGCGTTGTACTACACAGAATGTACATGTAATATTTTATTTCATTTATTCTATATCTAACCCCAGGACTGTTCATCCAACGAGTATTCGTCCTTCTCATGTACAAAAGGATTCTTTGGAGGCGATGCTTTAGAACGTCCGTTGGAATTCAGTTGTAAAGCAGCTTGGCCTGACTCGGTTGATGTGAACCCATTTTTATGTGTTACCATTAGTAACAGCCCTTTTATTGGCTACTGGTTTAACTATACTTCACCAACCACGGCTAAAGATCTACCAGAATACAATACACTCCTCAGTGCTGCTAAAACCACAAGGTAATACCGAGTGCGCTGTTAAGAGACTCTGGAGACTCGTTCCTTTGTTAACCTACGAATGGGCCAAACCCACTTTCCCATTTTAGACCACATGTAATAAGACCCCAGTCCAAAAGCACTGAAAGTGAATTCGCTCCCGGGGATGGGGGGGGGGGTTAATAGAGGAAATACGGTATGTATTATACATGGAAATCCTTTTGCATTGTTAGGTTTTCATATCAGACGAGTGCCCAACCATCAAGCCTGACAGTCGATACATACAAAGTAGGCACGACCATCAGAACAGCAGCTAACAGTAACGACAACCAGTACCGAGGAGCAAGCCTGGGAATCCTTACCCTCCCAAGACAGGTCTTCAGTGGTTTATGCTCTCACAATGCACCTGTAAGCTTCCTGGAGAACATGGATTCTAGTTGTACAACAGAACTGACGGAATCCCTGTGTACTGCCTCATCATCTCTTAGCGCGTCCAGCTTTTTAATGCCAAAGCAAATGGCAAGCCCGCCATGTCCAGTACCAGCGGCAGTGCTAAGGAGAGGAGCTCTTGGTCAAACTCAAAGTGAACCTCCATCGTTAGCTGATGCGGACGTGCAGTATTTCTGCACAGACGATTCGAGGAAATTTGTTCCTGTAAAATCAGGACCAGGATCGGGAGTGGAATCGGATGGCTCGGAATCTTCCGTTTGGAGGTGTGGATTCGACGATGGTAAAGTTGCGCCTCCTCTCCCTGTTTTTAATTCTACTTCCAAGATATGTTCTAATGTTGTTCTTAACGTTACGTACCAGTTCGAGATATTCGGACAAGAGATTAGTAAAGTCAAAGCTATTATTTTATTGGGTAATATCCAAATACCTACCCCGCTGTCGTCATTTCCGTCAAATATCGCTTCAACGGATACACCCATCAACTCTATTACCCAGTTTTTCACCTCCAAGTTTACCCATTCGTCTTTATTCAACACATCCGGTGCGATTCCTCCTGATGCTATATACCGGTCAGGTAACCCAGGGTACATCAAGGGGCTGCCTTTGCTTGGACTCAAGAAAACACAAAATGTAAGTATCCGCCATCTTTCTTGTTGCAGTCCTTCTTCCCTTCACTCTTTTTTCTTATCTCTCCTTTTTCCTTCCCCTTTCCTTTCCTATTTATCATTCTATATCGTCCCTCTCTATTTCCCTTCACTTTCTTCAGTTCCTTTCACTTGTCTTCCTCCTTCTCCTTCTCCTTTTCTTTCGTCTCCTTGTTTTTGTCCTCCTTCTTTTCCTTTTTTCCTATTGATATGTCATATCATATATTTCAGAATTCATTATCGAGACAGCTACCCGTCAGATCCCCCAGTGTGGATGGCTTTTGTTCCTCTTCTCCACTTTCAAATCCTATTCTCTTCGGAGAAGCTCTTACTTCCGGCTGCCTGATAAAACTTGGTTTCAGTGATATGCGCAACTGTACACGTGTGAGAGAACTAGTGCGGACCAATCACGAAGCTTTGTTGGACGCCACTCACGTGGGACGCACGGGTAACGCACGTGTTGCAGTAGATGAAGACTGGCTTCCTATTATAARGTAAGGATTACGCCTACTCCTTTATGCATGTGCTTTCTGTACCAGGGTCGTAGCGAGGTCACGCTTTAGTGAGGCGGATAGGGACTGGGATGTACAAATAAAAATTCACAGGAATCATGCATAAACTATTTAGATTTTAGTGCCGAAAGCAAACTTTAAAACTTTTATTTTGGTGGGATGGGGTTGGGGGGATGTGTCCCGTTTCCCCCTCCCTACGCTAGTGTTCTGTACTGTTTCTCTAAAACCAACCTTTTCTGTTTGTCACAGAGAACAAATCAAAGACTCGCCGTCCACCACAAATGCCACTGCCACTGGTGAATGTCAAGACATTCCTCAGGTACAGTTGATACAAGTTCTCGTTGCACAAGCAGGGATCTATCGAGGAGTAACGCAGATGGAGGTTGTTGGTCTCAGAATAAGGTAATCCTTAACTGATGACAATATTTCGATATCTATTGAGTGAGTTAATAACAATATATTCAAAGTCGAGGCTCCGAGAAAACAGTGATGTAGTTCTAATCAATCTTTCGTTGCTTCTATTCTGTCGTTCGCTTTGTTCGTGCAAACCCAGTGCGGGCAACTATTAGCTTCTCTTATGCATCTGTCCGGCATTTTTCTGTCCCTAAAAAGAGATATATTTTTGTCTTAACCACTAACTTATAAATGAGAGTGTCCGGATAACTAAAAAACAAATGGAGGCCAAAACTCCTATTTTCTCACAAGAATATCTATTATTTACAGTTACGAATACACGACATGGCGGTATTATTGTGTCAGCGGTTATGGTCTTAGTTGCTTAGCAACCCCAGAATCCAATGCAACCTTAAACAACACACGAGCCAATCAGAATGCCTCGTCAGTCAATAGTACAATTATGCCAACAGCAACAGTATCATTGGCGTTGTCTTCTAGTGCGGTCTTGAATGGGTCGTCTGTAGGACAACAGAACCAAACGACCACCAATAATAGTTATAGTCCAAGACAGATGTTATTCATGCTGGAGACGAGTGTCGTATTTATTACTGTTCCTGCAACTGAGCAAGTGAAAATGAAAAGGTAGGGATATGAATGAATCAGTAATGAGACGATGATGATGAATGGAAGGTAGGAATGGTACAGTGATGAGATGGATGGGATGGAATGAACCGAAAGATAGGTTGATGGAATAGATGAAAGTAGGGAAGGAATGAAAGGTGGGTGGGTGGGTGG